CTGAGTCTACATAAAAAGAAACTCAAAATAATCCATATTGCAATGGATTCAGAGCAAAGAGATTGCAAAAAAAAGAACTTCAGTCATGTTATATAGAGAAAAATGCTGAGGCCCAGGAATTTGTTGTTGTTGTTAAGTACCTTGGAGTCGGTTCCAACGCATAGTGACCCTGCACAGGATTTCTGAGTCTGTAAATCTTTACGGGAGCAGAACCCCTCATCTTTCTCCCACGGAACCGCTGGGAGCTTCAAACTGCTGACCTTGAAGTTGGCAGCCCAACTCGTAACCAATATGCTACCAGACGCCCAGAAATAGAAGCATAGATGTACAAACATTTTGTTGTTTGTTCTCCGAATTATACAGAGAAAAGAGAAAAAAAGGACTTTTTCATTTTATGATTTTCCTTCACTTTAAATTTTTGTCTTAGTATACATGAAAAAGGATGGCACTTTGTTCTGAGGAGATACTTGTCCTAGACAGAGAAAAATTTATGAAATAAAGAACGATTAATAAAAATCACTGAAACCTTATTTTCTATTTAACTGCCTCTCAAAAGCAGCAGGTCTATACCATATCAACATAGGTTCTTCTTAAAAACACAGGTTTTTAAGTTTTAAAAGCTAGTTAACAAGGCAAATGAGCCCTGGTGGCATGGTGGCTAAAGCGCTGAATCACTAACCAAAAGGTTGGTAGTAAGAACCCACCAAGTGCTCTTAAGGAAAAAGATAAGGATGTCTGCTTTCATAAAGATTACTTCCTTAGACACTCCATGGGACAGATCTGTTCTGTCCCATACGGTTGTTTAAACCATAATAAATTCAATACCATTGTTTGGTTTGGGTTGGTTATTAAATCAAGATTTTGCTGTTGTTGTTGTTGCTTGGTGCCATCGAGTCAGTACCGACTCATAGCAACGTTATGCACAGAACGAAACACTGCCCAATCCTGGGCCAACCTCACTACTGTTGCCATGCTTGAGTCCATCGATGTCGCCACTTGAACAATCCATCTCGTTGGAGGTCCTCCTCTTTTTCTCTGACCCTCCACCCTACCAAACATGACCTCCTTCTCCAGCAACTGGTCCCTCCTGACAATATGTCTCTACTTCTTCCAAGACAGATTTGTTTGTTCTGGAAGTCCATGGTATTTTCAATATTCTTGACCAATACCAAAATTAAAATGTTATCTATTCTTCTCTGGTCTTCCTTATTCATTATGGTTCAGCTTTCACATGCATGTAAGGAGATTGAAAATACCAAGACAGTACTATCATTTTTTAAAAAAGCTCTTAATTGGGGCTGTAGGATAAGTACTGGACTGCAGGGTCAGTCTGAACCACAAGGTCAGAAATTCAAACTCACCAACAGCGCCTCGGAAATCCTAGGTTCCCTATGAATCCAAATAGACTTGATGGCACTTAACAACAAAGTGAAGGCTTTTAGTCTTTTCTCATTTTTTCCTGTTCTGATGCTCTACTGCCACATTCCTCCAACTTGCCCATGATGGGTGAGCCTAGAGGGGTCTCTGGATGAATTCAAGTGGGAAATAAACTGAACTCTTACAACAATATTCTGCAGTCCTCAGGAATGAACTCAAGTGCTGTCATTGATTTGGCTGCAACAGTGTAACTCTAGCAGTACCTCTTGTAGGTGCAAACTTCGTCCTTCTTATATTTCTGGTGTATGAATTTTCCTGGTACCCCAGGTCTTTCTTGGGATTGGAACACAGTCCTAAAATCTCAGGATGGAAATTCAGACTCACAAGATTATATGTCAGACATTCTTCTAAGTGCCAAATCCAAAAGATAACATTCCCTTCTTTATGGAGTTAACTTCCCATATTCAGACTTATTGCCAGACATTCTTGAGTAGTGCCTGACCTCCAAATTCTTTATTGTTCTATCCCATACCTGTTGGAAATCCTGATAATCTCTCTGGAGGTCCCCCTGATAGACAACTGCTTGATTGGAATGTGACTAGACTTATGAAAACCCTCAATTTAATTCCTTGTTTACTTAATTGAAGCCTAAACTGAGTATTTAGCCATATTTTTTCCCTTTCCATCTGATTTGCTCTGTTTTTAACCATGGGAAGAATGATATTTTCTAGAAAGACTGTTTAGAGCTGAGTTTGAAGTGTACCTTCAAGTATAATATACACAAAACTCATCTCATAAGGCAACCAATAAGCACATGTGACTATTCAACACTTAAAATGTGCCTGAATGTTATTAATGTGGGCCTTACACATAAAACATACATTTTTCAAAGATTTAGTACAAAAAAACAAACAGGAAAATCTTAGCAATTTGAATAATACATATTACTTTTTTTTTTAAGCTCTAACAAACAAATTTATTTTTTCAAAGTTTGTTGTTGTTGTTAGGTGCCATCGAGTTGGTGCCGACTCATAGTGACCCTATGCACAAAAGAACAAAACACTGCCTGGTCCTGGGCCAACCTCAAAACTGTTGCCACGCTTGAGGTTACTGATGCAGCCACTTTGCCAATCCATCTCGCTGAGGGTCTTCTTCTTCTCTGACCCTCCTCCTTACCAAACATGATATCCTTCTCCAGCGATTGGTCCCTCCTGACAATATGTCCGAAGTATGAGAGA